ATTTGACTTGACGTTTTAACCAGTGATCAATGAAACCAATAATGCATTAAAAGCTTGCCTACCACCCGCAGCGCGTGAACACACACTCAACATTAACCGCCTAAAGAGCAAAAATCAGAGAACGCTGGAAAATAAGTTGTTTCGTTCTAATAGAAACTCGATAATTTTTTCCCAGATTTAAAACATGAAACACTTTTACTTATAAGCTGAAACTAACTTTTGTCTCATCAATCTTATCGAGTAGTGCTTGATGGATTAGTCACTTTATATGGTAATTTCAATTTTTCTACCACTCGACAATCAATTTGAAGAATTCTTACCACAAAAAGGGAAAGTAGTGCGTGTTTTTGAAGGAATAAGTAGTACGCTTTAAAAATAAAGGTATGCCAACTCTCGTCAAAAACCCCATGTCTCTTTGTTGAATACATGTAAAAACGGCAATGTTATTTTATATATTATTAAGATTAGTGATTTAGTACAACGAAAAAATGTAAGAACCTTTTTGTAACTGTTTCTTTATCAAAAACATATAACGCCATATGAAACATGGAAACGATGTTGCTACCTGTTAAAGTGGTTACAAAATGTAATAAATTTAAGCCAAATTAATAAATCCGTAGTCTCTATTTCTAGACCGATTCTGGACAAATTCATTTGCATTTGTTTATTTCTCAGTGGCTTCATTATACTAACTGGTTTAATATTAAAGTTTTAAAATATTTAAAATATTCAAAAGTGTGGACCTTGCTAAGTGAACATTCGAGAGTGTTCCCGTTCTCCGACAAATTAGCTTTTCAATTAAACTTGTACACGTAATTAGGATTTAACTATCTGCCTCTAATCATTCCTCCTTCCCCTTTTTCTTCAAGTGCTTCGTTTCCAACTTTTTCGTCGCCTAATTTGATTTAACTTTATGTATAGGGTGGGCCGTTTATCTATTAGGGATGGAGCCAAAACTTAAATACAAAAGTTAATTTAGCTATTACAAACTTTTAATTTATTTTAATTTTGTATGTAGGGTGTTTCATTTTTCGTGGGCGAGTCTCAACTTCTTTATTTTAAATAGAACACCTGGTATACTACTTCATTTTTGAATTATATTCAAAATTCTAAACATATTTTGTGTATAATGTCCTAGACCTAAGTCTAACCGTTTTTGACATTTTTAATTTTGCAAGACTTAAAATGTCTGCCAATTTCTTCATTCGGAAGCATTTATTGTTTCACTTGAGTAAATTTTGATTTCGACGAAGGACTGGAATAACGGATTTCACAAGAAATTTCGATACATATTAATACAGGGTACGTGAAAAATAAGATTAAAAATAAAATTAAGAAAACGGCCAGAAAAATTATTTTTTTAAATGAAAACTACCCACTTTTACAATTTTGTCACATTTAGCATGAAAAATTAAGGCAATTTTATATAGGGTTGTATATGCCCAACATTATTACATTTTGAAATATTTCCTTTAAAAATTTGTCTATCACAAATAATATGCTGTTGCCATAAAAGTTCAGTTAGTGTAAGGTGGTTATGACGTCGTTTGAAGTGCTAAAATGCTGCCACTACGATTTACCATTTCCTAGTTGACCATAATCTTGCCCATGCGCTTAGGAAGATCCAAAGATTATGTATGCATTATTTATACAAAATAAGACCAAGAATAAGCGATAACGTTGGTGATTTTTTTTTGTTAATGTACGATCGATAAAAAACTAATAGCTTACAAAGGATAATAATTATTGTAACAGTTGTTCAATATGAACCACCCTTTCAGCAATACAAGCAGTGTAAAGGGTTTTGAAATACATAACCGCATTTATAACAGAATTTACTCTGCATTATCCAAATATGAAGATGTCTATTTTTTCTTGCCTCAAAGTTCCATATATTCTAAAGGGTTGGTAAATTCTGTCGAAGATCTTATTTTGGGCGCCTCCTTAATGGAAATTTTCTAATATAATCTCTAAGAGCCAGGGACCGGTATTTATTCTACTATATGTAACTTTCTAACATATCAATCTCTTCTTCTAGTAGCACTTGATTTGTTTAAGCGCGATTATAGCCACCTTACACTAACTCAACTATATGACGACAGCATATTATTTATGATAGACAAATGTTCAAAAGGAAATATTTCACAAAGTAAAAATATTATAATATTTTATAAAATTGCCTTAATTTGTAATGCTAAATATGACAAGATTATAAAAATGGGTAGTTTCCATTTAAAAAAATATTTTTTTGGCAGTTTCTTTAATTTAATTTTTAATCTTATTTTTCCCGTACCCTGTATGTATCGAAATTTCGAGTCCTTTGTCTACAACAAAACTTACTAAAGTGAAACAATAAATGCTTCCGAACGGCAGATAGTCTTGCAAACGTCATTTTTCGCATAAAAAATTAAAAATGTCAGAAACGGTTAGACTTAGGTATACGATATTATGCACAAACTATGTCTAGAATTTTGTATAGAATCCAAAATAAAGTAATATGCCAGGCGTTCCATTTAAATTAAGAAAGTTGATACTCGCCTATGAAAAATTAAGCACCCTGCATATACAACATTAAAATAAGTTGAAGGTTTGTAATACTCCATTAACTTTTGTTTTTAACTTCTGGCTCCATTTCCTATAGTTTCTGAGATAAGCCAGTGTCCCAAGATAAACGGCATTCAAATTTTTAGTTATAGACGGAGCAGTATCTCGGCCATGGGTGCCTGGAATTACACACGCATTGCACTTGCTACTTGTATAACCGCATTTTTAATAACTGGCAATTGCTAATCTCTGTAATGTACTTTTAATGGAAAAATTGGATTTTGGTCCACCCTAGATCGGTCGGTACACCTACGAATTTATTGAAATGTCCAGGGTCATTGATCCTTAACCAGCTAATCAAGCCTTAAAGAAATTGTGAGAGCGTAGTGTAAAGTTCAACATACCTCGTTAACGATTTTAGCTGGTGTTATTTGCACCCCAACACCTTATTTTCGTTCATTCATCCCGGCAGTCGAGTTTAGATGCGGAATTAGTCGTGATGACATTGCGACATGTTTTATAGAAAATTTACTCAGCTTCTTTTTATTTATTTATTTAGTGCAATCAGCTGCAACATATTTCTTATTCCAGAGTAAAGATTTTAATTGCATTTATTCAGAAGGATTAGATTTATTCAGATTGATTGAGTTTTATTTGGACTCGACATAATTACAAAATTCTATGCGCTAATTTTGAATTTTTTCCGTATCGGGCCACTCTTTTTACACATTACTTGGAATGCTTCAAGATTTCCTTTCTCATATCAGCGAACGGAAACCGGTCGAAGACTCCGATTTTGCATATTTTTGACAAAAATTTAGAAAAAATGAGTCATGTTCTTGATGACGTTAGATAAATCACCAGGCCAACAAGTTAGGATGTTCGTACTGTTTTTTGATACATTGCGTTGCTATGGAAATATGGTTATTTTAAGAGATTCCGTTTTTTTTAAATTAGATCTAAGAAATGACAGATACTAGAAATAACTGATTTTAAGTATAGGACAATGGTAAATGTTGAAATGCAGATAAAACTGTCTTTGGAAGTCCGCTGAAAAACTTGCAAAATTTCGAATTAAAATCCGTACAATATGACGGAGCAAAATTTATAGTGCGGTCTAGCCCAAAGGTAATTTACGTATTTTGGTATGTGTCCATTATCATACGGCACGAAACAAAACTTTTTATTAAATTTGCATAGCAGAATAATCTCAAATTTATTATTCCATAGAGTAATATCATGCAATCCAAATTTAAACCTATCATTTCACGCCCACACATCCAACTGTGGCGATGAATCGGAAGAGAATTTCGTAAAAATACATATACTTATGGTTTTTCAATACTGCTTATTAAGTATAGTTATAACGCAAACAATTAACCATTTCGCTTATTATTAATGAACGACACTGAGATTTCGCTACCCTCTGTCAGTCAGTTTTGTTTAATTACGAAACCAGAATTATTATTATTATTATGTTGTTTCGATTCCGAAATGCCGTGTAAATAGATATTTTGCTCTTTTTATGGTGGTGGCATGTTTCGGACACTCTGTAAGATACGTTGAATCGAGTGGTGTGGTCAACAAATTTTTCAGACCAAATATAACACAAACATAGTATTGTTTAACTGGGACGCTCCAAAAAATTGCATTTTTTTAAATAGTGTGTTACACAATACACTTCTGAAGTAAATTAACCCTTAATTATAGGATATTATATGATATTAGCCCATAACTCAAAGCGGAATTACAAAAATTATTGTTTAAAGTCAGTATCATAATAATATAATTGCTTGGTGCATATCTGTCAAAACATAAATCAGATGCTTGGTCACTGTTTTCATAACATTCAAAGAAACAAACCATCATATCATACATATGACAATTTTTAACATTATTCATTGTTTCCTAGGAGTGAACCGCAAAAAAAATGTGATATACATTAAAAAGGATTTTTTGAGGAATTACTAAGAATTTCGCATAAAATTCCAAGGAATTCCACAGAAACTCCTGGGAATTATTAGTAATTAAAGGAATTACCGGGTACACTTCCCTCATCGGTTTACAACTCGATGTTTTCTTCTCCGATTAATTTAAATAATATTTAATAAACATCAATACAATTTTTTGCTTTTTGTTTGTATTTACGAGCAAAGTATTCTTTGTGGACTCTTTAGCAGCTAAATCATTCCATGGCAAAATTACGTTTTCCAAAAAAATGTGTTGGTTCTACAACTCCATTCTACGTAAAAATATAATTTTTACCATTTTTACCCTTTTTATATCTTGCAGGGTGTTCGACTTATTCTGTATCTCTGGAGTTATGGAGTTAGCTAAATTTTGCGGAAAATTGACCAACCAAAAATTAAAATCCGCAAAATTCTATGCTGGTTAGTGATTAAAAATAATATGGGGCACAGTATACAAATGTTGGTTAAAGAAAAAAGTCTTATTACCGGATATTCATCATATCGCACTCCCAGTTGATAGTCTGGCAATTCTTCGGGGGAGCTTTCTGGGATAGTTCGTTTGTGCATCGCATCGGCTGGTATTGATAACGTCGTTCTCAGAGCACAGACCAAGAAGATAAATTCAACCATCAATAAAATGCTGCTGCTCATTTCAATTAGCACAGAAAAACGTTGAAGAAGAACCTAGAAGTATTTAAATAATTATTAGAAATAATCACCTATTGTATATCTACCACATATTGAAAATTTTATATAGATGTTTTTTTTTTTTCATTTTTCCATGATGAATTTAAAATATCACGAAATGGCTTGTACAATCTAGTACCAACCTATAATCTAAACGTAAGGACGTATGATAAATTAGAAATTAATTAATATAAATTGTAACAAGCAATAACTTTTGATTCTGCATTTTCCGCAGCGTTTTTCGTTTTCTGCTTGGCTTTAATATATTAGCAAATAGGAAACATGTCATTATTTTCCCAGAGTCCAATCTCCCTGCATAAGTATTTCTATTGTTTTATATGATCCTTCTGTTATTATTCTTCAACTTCAATTATAAATTCCGATATTTTTTTGACAGGCAATTATATTTTTTGATATGCTGGTCATTTTTACGACTTTACTGCTCCTTTCATAAATTTAAATTAGCCCTAGATTTGAAAATGGTAAAATATAAATCGCAGGACTGATGACAATAAATCGCCTTAAATATTCGTAAAATTTAAAATGTTCACAGTTTATTTTTTATATTTTTGGTTGGACTTAATCATCTCTTTGTTCTGTACATCAGCCTCAGCCAGTGATTGTTACATTGTTTGTTTTTTTTTATAAAATTTTGTTTTATTTATATCTGCATCCGAATCCAAGATGCTGAACGTAGTAAATAAATATTATGGAATCCAAGTGACCCCCCCCCCCGTCTTTTTTTAATCACCTGTTATAACAAGTTGAAATTTTGGAAAGTCGGGCCGCTAACTAACGGCCATCTTTTAAATGAAATTGAATGCCGATCGCAATTAGAAAACCACTTTCAAAATACTTTTAAATTATTTTCATGGATCTTTTAATTTTGGAATCGGTGGTGATACCGGATGAGTGTTGAGTTTTTTTAATCAAAGTAAATTTCAAAACAAAACATTGTCCTGTCGTTCTTTTTTTTTGTTCGACGTATCCTATAGTTTCATTTTTTTTTTATAAGAACATCATTTTATAGAAAAACAAAATTATCAATCAAATATTTCACTCAGCAAGCAGCAGTACCCGTAGTTTAGTTAAATACAATTGAGCTACAAATATACATTCATTCGGAATATTTTCCAAGTACGTCTTGTCCAGCTTTAATGATGCTGTCAATCAGATTTCTCTATGATGAACAGCTAAAAATCGAAATATGCCATATGGTATTTCTCACAGTAAAGCGCAGTACAGTAAAGGCATCGCATTGATTTTAACAGAGACTAAAGATAGGAAAAAGTTTGTTTTGAATTGAATCAAATTAAATAATTGTTTAAATATACATCAAAAAATAATCGTCCAACGTATTAGGTACTCAATATAAGTTTAACATGACAAGGTAAAAGAAAGATAATTTATGTTTAATACCCAAAAAATTGTAATTATGTAAAGTAATTTATTTGTTTAATTATTATTAATTACTGAATAATTTTATGAAATTTTTATTTCATTTGCTTTATTTGATAAGTTATTTGAAACAGCCAAAGCCCATCCACGTATCCAACTAACATTTGATTAAGAAAACTTTACCGTATTATCACAGGATTTAAAAGGTAAATTTTAAAATTGCGATTTCCTCGATTTAATTCAGATTTGCATGACGCCAGACCCTAGTTATTAAACTGTTGTTGGTTATATTTATCATACACTTCAATCAATGAATCATCATCATCACCATTACGTGCGTACAATTTAAAATATAACAATAAATATAATCTCTAAGCGAGCTTTCAAATAAAAAAAATATGTATATGATTATAACAGGGTTCTAGTGTTAGACATGGGAACCTGAATGTGACAGCCTTAACAAAAATGTTTTTTTATAAATTATGCATCAGACAATAGGCACAACTTAGGGTACTACGATTAAGCTTGAAATCAAATCGTTTATTTTTTAATTGAAATTTTATAACGGATAAGTTAGAAGCATAACTAAATAACATGAATTTCATTATTTTTGAAAACCCCTCTCGCCGTCACATATTTTGTAAAATATATATTTTTTTATGAATGAATTGTTCTTCAGGGTTTACGTTTTCCAAGATAACAATTGACTGTTAACATTTGCAGGGAGCTATTTATTAGGGTGAAAACTCCGTTTTCTCTCCCTAAACTTTAATAATAATTATTAAACAATTATTACATTTTAAAATTACGAAAAACAAACAAACCAAATATGGTTATAAAAAAAACAGAATTGAAAACAAAACACGTTTTAAGAGCTAAATAAACTTTTCCTATTGTACCTTGCTTAGGCAAGGGTGGTGATATTTATTGTGCGTCTCTTAAATCCTGATTTTCGATTTTCTTTGGAATCTTTTTGGTGTGTTAAAATCAAATTATCAAGTATTTTAAACAAACAATTTTTCTTTGATTCATTTACATTACATTCATTACAATTTAACAAAAATATTTTTTTGCTATTGCAATCTTCGTAATTTGTTTAAAAGTACACAGGAACAGGGACCCATAAATTAACGTCGAATCAATGTCAACAAAACTTACCTTTTAACAAAAATAACTGACCTATCTGCAGAATAATCTTTATATTTTTGAGGCAGTAACGATATATCCGCCAAACAATTCAAACCAACCCGGCCAATAGCAGCTTCCAATAAAAAGAAAACAAAAGAACCGATACGGCAACTTGTGTAAATCGCACGTAAAGAATGTTTTTTCCCGGAGTTAAGCGACAAACATGTAGACTGTCGCTCAAACTTCCAAAGAATCGCTTTTAAACTACGCGCGGTCTGCAACGCAGACTCTACGGAGTTGTAAGTTTTGTTTCCAGTCCCGTTTCGGGAGCTTGACTCGATCCTGACGGTCGCTACGTCCCACTTGTTGGAGTTTCGACCCCACGGTCGCGTATGGAATGCCTTTCGTGTGGGTTTCTCCTGGAAGTTGTAGTAAATTATCATATTAATCTTGTAACTTGACCGGTCTCGTGTTATAAGATAAACAACGGCTTCTTAGAACCGTTTAATAACTCTGACTTTATCTGACAAGATCGCCGTGGTGTTAAAGATGTCACGGACGGATCGCACATGTTTTTTTTGTTTCCGCAAACTTTCTGCGTCAACTCAAACACGTGCTGCCAATCATAGAATTCTATTAATCTTCTTCTCGTATGTTTATGGTTAAAATATCTCGTTTATGATCATTTTTATAAAAGTATAGAATGAGAAACCTTCATAGACAAAAGGCAATTGGGCAAACTCGGTAAAATAATCTAAAAAAAGTCTGGGAAAAATCTAATAAACATCATTTTAATCATGAGTTGATGTGTAACTTAATCATCACAAAAGACAAACGTCAAACTACTGTTAGTGCCTAAAATCTATCGAAGTCATCCGGCAACATCCGAAGTAGCTCGCGATAGTGGTTAAAGAAGCTGACATCTTAAAGTGACACATTGAGCACGATTGATCAGTAACATAATTGATTATTCAATTTATCAATAATCTTACCAATATAGATATGAAATATATAAATATAAAATTATTTTGAAGACAAGTTCAAATAAGAAAACCTCATTTTAGTTCGTTGTAGTAGTTTTGGAACTTTTTATTTGATTTTTTGTTATGGTAAATATTGTTCAAAACATCGAAATATCACTTAAAACGTTTTCTTCTTCGGTATTTTATGACATTTCTAGATTCGCCAGAAAATTATGTAATATTGTTCTATATTTTGTCATAGCTCTTCTTGAGCATATTTGAGTAAAATTAAGTCTGTTAGAAATCATTTACTACCTACTCGAACTTGCTCGAAGCAGGAAGAATCCAGAAGTTTTATAAAAAGTATTACAGTAGCCTGTGGAACTTTCTTTAAAAAAATAATTACTGGGATTGGTATTTAAATATCTACTTACAATTATTAAATTTAGTATAATACAATTTACTTATTTTACTTCCCATATGCACGCTTTTCTCCTATTGGTGGTGAGTATTGGTGAGCAAATAATAATGGGCAAAAAAACACCTAAATTGATCTAACTTGGTGGATCTACCTGCATATGATAAAAAAGGGACAAATTTCAATGCCCTGTGGTTCGTGAAAGGATCTATATAAAAAGTGCTTTAACTAGGCTATTTATCACTTTTGAACCTCAGCTGACCTGACGTGTATGGGATTGCGGATCAGTTGCTTTGGCACATGATATCCTTGCCTTACTTTTTTCTATCTCTTAATAATTAAAAGTACAACGCTAACGAAAATGTATAAAACGAGAAGCGAATAGTGTAGAGCCTTGCTTCTTCCTACCTCTTAATAATTCTAACGATTCAGTTCATTTTATTGTTTAAAAAAACATTTCAGAAACTATTTTATTACAAAAATAGCACTCGAAGAGATGGAACAAATAAAACTTGGATATTAGTACCACCTCTCATATTATAGCGCTTTAAATTCAGCAATGCTATAACCCTTGGATTTTGTAGACTTTAAATGTCAGTTTGCAATAATCAGATAATGTCTTAAATTCGCACAACTAATAAATGTTGCCTTTAAATTCATATAGGAAATATATGTTATCTGATAAATCAGAATGGACTCTTTTCAGTATACAACTTGCTCTATATGGAGAAATTTGCGCACTTGTTTTTTGTCTCTATATAAGCAATTGCGATCACCCTTTTGGTTAATAACGGGCAAGTTTGTCATTCAACAAAAATAGATAAATCGGAAGGAATTTGGAGATATTATTTCATGAGAATTCACTATCAAGTATCTCAAAAGGAAATAAATAATAATTTATTCTCTTAAAAACTAAGAAAATGATTTACTTCACTTCACTATTTGATTGCCTGTATTTCTTCTGTTCAAGCTGAGTCACCCAACTTTAACAAAAATAAAAAGCAACACTACATAAGTTAAGTTTCTATAAAGTAAAAAATAATAATACATAACTATCGTTTATTGCATATGCTATAATAGAATACCAATAATAATATACATAATAATTTTTTATTTATATTTAAATTAGTGTTTCATGTTTTATCTAATCTGATTTTACGATGTTATGCTATTTTGTTGGAATCAGAGAATTGTTCATTTTGATGTCCTTTAAAATTGAAATATACGTCGGAAGGATATAACAACTAAGTTTAAAAAAATGATAAACCCCAAATTCTTATTTAAACACAATATTGTATCTTGAATATTTATGAACACCCATGCACGAACTCTAAAGCCCTTTTGCAAATCTTACATCTACAAACATATATTTTTCAATTTTATCGAAACCGAATATCTGAGTTTAAGTGAACAAACACTTACCAAACTCTTTTGGTATCTAAGATCTAAATCAAATCGACAAAATAAATTGGTTTATCTTATCCCGCTTTTCTTCAATTTATTTAAAAAATTACTTTGGACTACAGCGATTTTGATGTTTGTTTATTATGGGGGGCCTTTTTCCAAAAAACGTCATATTTTTTATGTATCACGTCATTTTTTTTATAGCGGTCTATATCTTAAAAATGTTATTTCATTAATATACCGGAGTTAATATAGGCTGAATGTTCAATTTTGTGACAATATGTAGTCAAAGTGTTCACTTCCGATTTGAGCGGAAACGACAGTAACTTCCAATTTTTGCATTTTTGGATCACTCTATGTAGGATGGGATGGATTTTCTCTTTTTTTTTTGTTTTTTTAATTTTTTATTAAATTTGGAAAATTTTGTCTAAGAGGCTATTGACCGGGTCACCTGATCATTTATTTCTTTACTTGTCCAATGGCAAATAGCATTTAATGTAATGAACTATTTTTCAGGATAACCCATTTTTTTCAAATAGCACCCTAGTAATTGCACTAAAATTTTCAAAATCCGTTAAAAAATAAGCTTAGAAGAAGGAAAAAACCAGATAATTTTATAAATTTTATAAAAACATTTTTATAAAAACAAAATATTACTTAGGTGGGTCTACTTCTATTCATCATCAAGTCGGCCCGATCGAAAATTCTGAGAGTTTGTACATTTTTATCTGATTATCGATTTTGTCGTGTTATCGATTTGGATTGTCATGGAAAACAATAATCAGTTTACAAATAGAGAAAAAGTTGATATGATTCTGATATACGGGGAATGCAGAAAAAACTCTCGACAGGCCCGTGCATTGTATGCAGCCCGCTACCCGAAATGAAAATTTTATAATAACTGAAGAAATGGAAGTCAGTGTTATGGGATACGTCAACGTGAATCCAGATGCGTCGCTAGGAGAAGTGACATTAGAATTAGACATCTCAAGAGAATCTGTGAGGAGAATTTGCAAAAAACACGTCTATCATTCTTTTAAGTATAACGTTCATCAACATCTTTATGAAGCTGACTTTGTAAGAAGACTTCAATATTGTAATTGGCTGTTAGATAAACAAGACGAGAATAATAAGTTTGTTAACTTAATTTGGTTCAGATTTGAGTCACGATTCTCACATAATGCTATGTTTAACCGACAGAATAAACAAATTTAAATAATCAAAGAATTATTCGTCTCGGACAGTTTCAAGAACGGTTCGGAATCATGGTTTGGGCAAGAGTGATAGGAAGGCGAATTATTGGACCTGTTTTTTTTTTCATTTTGCCTTAACGCTGCACGTTATTTACGATTCCCAAGAAATGAAATTGAAGACTCGTTAGATGATTTACTTCTTGCAGTCAAATTAAATATGTATTTTCAGCAGGATGCTCCGCCTACCCCCTGTTACTGTCACTGAACACCCACGTGATGTTTATGGGGATAGACTAATCTCAACACTCGGTCGAGTCAATTGGCCCCCATGGTCACCGGACTTGACACCGTTAGATTTTTTATGTTTGGGGGTACGTGAAAGACCGTGTTTATGTAACTCCAGTGTTCGAACTACAAGAAGTATAGCGGAGAATGACGGCTGCATTTGATAGTATAACCCCAGAAATGTAAGGAAGGAGGACATTTTGAAAACATTTTATGAAAGTTTTATCTTGAAATAAATTGGTTATTAAGTAAATATATATCGCACTTATTTAATTCAAATAAATACAAAACTAGTCTTACAGCAACAAACGTTGATATACCACTTTCAAATTGATTCTACCGACATTACTGAGGTTTTATTTTGTAAGAGATTTTCAAAATATTGTGTTGAATTATCCAAAAAAGTGACAGATTTGAAAAGAAAAAAAATCTATTCTCTTGCACTTCCGAGTTTTCGGTAAAAAGTGCTTGAAGCTTATAACGTACGTATACATACAATGCTTACGTTAGTTTTAGACTCCGTTTTCCAAAAGCAATTTTTACCATAATAAAACACTTTCAAGAAAAAATTATAATCGTTGAATCTCAGAAGAAACTCTCCCTTGAATTTTATTTTCTTTAATTACTAATCTGTTTTTTTCTTTGAAGTAATATTTTGATTTTATAAAAATATATTTACTTATCTGATTTTTTTATTCCTGTGAGTTTATTTTTAAAGGATTTTAAAAATTTTGGATTCAAAATGTTGCAAGAAAAGTACCGGCTTTAAAAAGTTTTTGTGCTCACTAAAATTAATAGTTCATTACATCAGGTGACTCGGTAAATAGTATTTATGATGGTCACAGCCTCCTAGACACAATTTTTAAAAATTAAATAAAAATTTACAAAACAAAAAAAATGAGAAAAACATTACTATCCTACGTAGAATGATTT